AGGATTTCCTAAGCAATCATCTAGAATCCATCAGAATGACTACTAGGCTGACGTATTTATTAGGGGGCTTGACAGATTTGCTTGGTTCCAGTTGACCAAATTGTGAAAAAAAAACTCGCAGCATGATGAAGTAGAAACGACAAAGGAAAGGGAGACGGGAATGGCCGTTCATCATACCCAATCCCAGAGATGGCGACCTCCCATATTCGAACTCAGGACCTTTTGGCCATTGAGTGCAACACCCTACCATTGCAACACGGACACTTTGTTTTTGTCAGTTGCAATGGGAAATATGATGATCGAGCTCCAAGGCAAAACGGGACGAGCATGTTTCAAAACCAGATCAGTGAGTGCCCTACCCTTCACGGAGACATATAGCTCCTGGCCAAGTGCTGAGTAAAAAAATGCCAAAAAACAAATCTCGGGCACGAACACCACACAGGGGTCTCTCGATATTTCCAAAGTGTGGCTTTACGTGGTCGTGGAGCAACCTCAAAGGCTGCCCTAGCTTAAGTTCACATAGTCTAACGCACTTGACTGCATGGCACAGCCTTCGCCATCTCTTTCTCTCGGCTTACTACTGATGCGTTGGGCGTCTATTCGACCGATCGCCAGCGCGGTAGACTACCCATGCCACCTTCAGTCCGCCTAAAAACACTTGTCAATCGATTGCTTGAGCAGCGTGAGACTCGACACCAGCTCGAGGATAAATGAGGCTGTGTCCTTCGCCCATTGGCTGCAAAGAGGCGAGGTCGAGGGGCACGCAAGCGTTTTGCACCGGGGATGACAACCTCGAGGGTGATCAATCGGCTGAATAGAACTCCTTCTGCCTCTACCTGCTGAGCTGTGTGTACGTCCAGTAAAACTTGTATATTTATCTTTTTCCCCTGCTCTCTGATTTGCGAACCCTTCAGCTGTCGACCATCACATCTTGACAGTCCCATCAAGTGCATTAAGCTACCTCCTAGGAGTCCATTGTTTCGAAAAACAACAAATGTTATGAGTAAAGAGGGAGAAAGATTCTAGCTCGTCGGAAAAATGTCTTTCGAGTTCTTAATGGAGTACATAGTCCGAGACAAAGGTGGCATAACGGAAAAGCAACAGTTGTAGGGGCCAA